TGCCATGAGTTGGAACTGACTTGATGGCAACTGTTTTTTTCACAAGTTCCCAGGCATTCAGTTCAAACTCCTTCCTTCAAACGCAAACTTCTGAGAAAGGAGGGAAGATGGAGATGTTGAAACCCCCACCTCCTGCTCTTTATGAACGAAACAAACCACAGGCATCTGAAGGTGATTAATTGTCTTTATTGGAGGAAAACAAGAAGTCATCAATCTTGTTGTCATTATGATAGAAATCTTGATATGTGTACATGATTGTCAAGGCAGAGAATCATTTGCTAAATAGGCCCATTAACAATTCTGCAGTGTCGCAAACCTATGCAGGTTAAACTTCTTGCAGAGTTTATTACATGCATGGAATAAATGCACAGTTTCCCTTCTTTTGAACAAGCATGTTTTTATGGAAATAATTGAACCAATCGCAAGCCTGGTAATAACAGACATGGGGACATTCCTGGGTTCAGTGTTATAAGCTTTTGGAAAACATGCTCATTGTTGGGGGAGCAGAGAGGGGCAATTACTTCATGTGTAGTGACTAAAGCCAATTTAGAAATTGTTCCAATTTTGACTCTGGACAGAATGTACCTTTTATGTCTTCTAACCTGAACACGGGACTAAGTTAAATGTTCTCTGAAACTTGCTGCCCCATCTTTCAAAACATAGAGGCTGCTGCAATGTGGCATCACTTTTGCTGCTGTTTGGACAGCATCTTGCGCCACTTCTAAAAAGGCCAAGAGCCCATGGGAGGGAAAGCGCAGGTTTCAGTGCTAGGGCCGGAAGGATGAACATTCCAGTTGACACTGCTGTCCCTTCTTTAGCTCTCTCCCCAAGTCTGGCTGCCAGCCCTACCCCAGGGCCCTGCTTCCTGAAGGGCAGGGCTACCAGGAGGCCAGGTATCTTAGTCTGTCCAGGTATTTTCCTTTGAGAAGCAATTTAGTGTTTGGCAGGGGTGTAGCGAGGGTAACAAGTACCCAAGGACAATCTCTAAGTGGCACCCTCCCCCCCCAATTTCAAGATGAATAGACCTTGATAGCTGTGACATGTCAGCAGAAACACCTTCCCCCTCTTGTCTGGCTGCCTCAGTCAGGCGCCTTTTATATTTGTGGGACCTGGGAATGTCATTCTGCTCCTCATTTGGCACCCCCTTAGACTTGCAAGTGCCCCCTCCCCCTCCCTTGCTAAGCCCCTAGTTGTTTGGTCTTATTGAGTCCTGGTGATGCCGTAACTCTATGACTAAAGCCTCAAACACGCCTCTCCTTTTTTTCCTGTCCACAAGAAGATAAAATCACCTGTAAGTAAAATAACATGGTAAATAATCAGAAGACATCAGAACCCTAAGAGAAGTTCCATGTAGACAAAAAGGTTAAAAACGTATATGGCGAATGCAGAAGCATTAGTACAAAGGGTGAACGTGACAGTTTGTCCCTTTGGTGTAGAGATACAGAAACCGAAGCCATTCCACGGTTTGCTTTTGTCCACAAAACCAGGCTGGGCAGCCACATGCTGAGGATTGGGCATCCAAATGGACAGCCTTTGGGTTTGAAGCGGAGCCCCCCAGAGCCACAAGCAGGGCTGCTCCAGATGCAGGCGGCAGGAGGTCCAGAAGGGCAGACTCCTTTTGTGCTAAGGGTGCGTGGGCTGCTGCTAGAAAGAGGGAGCGGACCCGCAGGGCTCACAGCAGGCCTAGGATCCTGCGCACGCTGAGAAATGCCTGTGTAGACATGAGCTGCAGACCACGATGAGCTGGATCACAATGGAGGTACTGGGTGAACGGGGCGTGGGTCTGTACCTTCCTCTCTCTCCTCTCCTCAGAACTGCCTGCTGCCTACAGTTGTTTTGCCAGCTAACTCATCTGCATACCGATTTTCACGGAGTCTTCAGGAAATCAACTTTTTTTTTTTTTTAAAGGAATCTATTTTCCCAAATTTTTCTATCTCAGCAGTTTCCATTCTGCATATCGAAGGGTTGGAACACTTTTTGCAAATGTCTGGTATACTTTCAGCCCCAACCCAGGACCAAGTACCCCCTAAAAGAGTGGTGAATTACATACAAGTATATACATTGTTTTTTTGGAAACAAACTGAACAGTGTTTGGTCTGGAACCGGTCTAAGGAAAAGGCAAACTTTGCAGAGTGTGAGTAGACGAAGTGGAAGTAGTACTGGTTAGTAACATGCAAAGGTTTCGTGCATTCGTGGAGCCAGATGACCTTCACTTCATCTGCCAGAAGTGGTTTTGCAAACCTGGGAAAGAGGACATCTGATTTCTGTTGACGGAAACTGGAGACGCTGCCCTTTATCTGCTCTTGACTTCCATCCACAGATTCAAAGGAATCCCTGTGGTGCACTTATAGAAGTTATACGAAGTAGGGAGTGTTGCTGGCTAAAGCTGAGGGGCTTTAGCCAGCTCTCCTGCTTTCTGCCCTGGAGAAATGGTTCCAGTGTGGCTTCCCCAATGTGAAGAATCAATACTGACCAAGGTTCTGGGTAGACAAGGGTCTAAGGTGCCCAACGCCATCAAATACTGAATCTACCGTCACTGGAGTACAGTCTTTCTGTTTAAAACGACTCATAAACATCCAACCCCAGTGGGTTAATCAGATTAGGCTGTCATTCCATGAGAAAGAGGGTCAACGCCTTTCAGGAAGGGATCATCTGGGCTCCCTTCCCTGTGTCCTTGATGTCCTTGGCCTTTGTTCTAAAGGAGACTCTCCCTCTACCACCCACAATCCATCCAGGACATGCTGAATACCAAGCCAAGGTAGACAAATAGGGTGGATTAGTGCTGAGTAGGTAAACTGAGTCTGGGGCTCAATACACCAAAACCCTTTTATCAAACTGTTACTGTTTTCTAAGGCCAAAGCTTTGCTTATTTACCAAGGGCATCTTCTTTTGCCCTAAGGTGGACTGCTGGGCTCCCTGCACACAAAGGTATAACAGCTAGTTGGGAACTGCTCAAAGGTTCTCCTATGCCAGGTTGAGGCTGTGCCCTGCCCTCGTGGTGAGGCTTTACAAATGACCTAATCACTGCCAAAATCGAGAACATTAAGCCACGCCTTTCTTTGGCATCATTTCTATGTAATTCTTTTCTTAAAAAAGATTATCCTTTCTGTTCTCCTATGGAGTCAGGGGACAGTAGGAGGGTGGGAACATCAACCACTACCCAATGCAAAAGCCACGAGCAACCCTGGGGTCACCATCTATCCCGCTGGGCAGCTTCCTCTGTTCTCAAGGGATTTTCATAGTTACATGCACATCCCTCGGTGGTGCAAACTGTTAAGGTACTCGGCTGCTAACCGAAAGGATGGAGGTTTGAGTCCACCCAGAGGCACCTCAGAAGGGGTGCCATTGAAAACCCTGTGGAGCACTGTTCTACTCTGACACACACGGGATTGCCATGAGTTGGAACTGACAGTAACTTTTTTTGTGCACATCTCTTACGCATGTTCTACCCCTCTGAGCTCCAACTGTCTTTGCCCCACCCCAACCCGATACTCCAGACCCCAGTGTGCCCAGTGTGAGGAAGGGGAGCTATGGCAGCCAAGACCCCAGGAGTACCTTGGCAAAGGTTAGCAGCAATATTTCTAAAGGCCACAGGGGCCAGAGTGGGGCATGGACTCACTGTTTGTTTCAGACAAATGTTGGCTTCTCTTATTGCCTCATTTACGAGATGAAGATCAGGGAAGCAAAGGGGGGGGAGAGAGGCAGCGGAGGGAAAGACAACCCCGGAACATGATTTCAAAATTTAGTATTGAAGTGAGAAAAAGAATTTTCCTTGCTTTGAAAAGGTGTAGAGACCCAGTGTGGGGTTTGGGGTTAGAAAAGAAGCCTGGGATGTGTCTACCCTGAGCTTGGCCAATGCACTGGCTTCAAGGGCGCATCTAGCCTGGTTGCACGTATTAAATGCTCGGCTAATACCTGTTGAATCTGACATCAGTAAGGGTCCTAGGACTATGCCATCCCATTTGCCAGGTCTTAAAATGTACATTCTGGATTCTCCTCCCGTTTTGTAATAAGACATCAACTATACCAAGTACATTTGAAACAGAACCTCTTTATCCTTTTACCACTAAGGCTCCCTCAAGAGCAAAAGCTCTTCTGTGTGGTATTTATTTTCTCCTCTTCCTGAAACAATAGGAAATAACCTAAAAGGTAGCCTGGGCCTGCTCTGATGTCATGCCCAGCAGAGTGTACTGCTGGCCTGAAGCCAGTCTCCACCTCCTGGTACTGTGTTACTGAGACCTGATGTGTGACAGATGAGCTGGAACATGGCCAAGGACTGACTTCAAGCAGCAAAAAGGACACTTGCAACAGGGTGCATCTATCTCTCAGCTACTCTGGTCTTTTCAGGTTAGACATCCTTTCAGACTAATGGCATATTCCATGCATCCTGTATATGAGCTCCAGAAAATATTTTTATCGCCAGTAATAGAATTTGGCTTCAAATCTTGCTTTCTAAATGCAAATGACTGTGTACAGCACACAGCACAAAGAGCCCATGACTATTCAAGCACATGACAGGTACCAAATTCAGGTCCCCTTGCAACATTCTATCAATCAACTTTTTTTCTTATACTCTATGAACTTGAATGTTTCCATTATACTGGTTAATAAGAGACATGTTAATAAAACTCCTGGAGAGATTCTGCAGTTTTCTCAAATATTTCTCAAATATTGTTTACAATATTTATGTCATTGTCCTTCTGAAGGTGAGGGGTTGATGCATATCAAACTTTGGTGATGCTTGCTTATTAACTGGGTCTGTTGTTATTTAATCAACTTTCCCAGCCCTTTTACACATTTCAGAGTAATGGCTTGCTTTTCTCTGTATGCATGTGTGGCAGACTCCAAGCAGGATTCCTGTCAAGTGGCTGCGTGCCCCTAACACATGTGAGGACAGTGGTGGACCAGCTGCCTGGCTTTCCAGCTGCACTCATATACACTAGTACTGCCATTATACACATTCTAACTGCTGAACTGAATAACACTATGTGTGTGTGGTGGTGGGGGGGAGGGAGTGAGCATTACTGAAACATCTTGGCCTGGACACATGCAAAGGTGTGGAAGTGACAAAAATGATTTGACCAGCAGGACCTGCCGAGTCTGTCCAGCTGTAGGAGAAGGGCACAGGGGCAACAGCCAGGGAAGTCGGCCCCAGGATAGTCGTTGCAGTATCAGGCAGAGCTCCCAAGACCCTCAGCAGGTTCAAGGCTGACTGTGAAGACTTCAGACTCTGACTGAATGGGTGTGATGGCTGTAACAGGTGCTGGATGGGCAGGAGGGCTTTTGCAAAGCTGGTACCTGGAGCCACCTGCTCGGCTCGACAAGAGCTTATCATTGAAGCTTCTTTGAAAAGTGGTTTTGCCCTGGGTTTCACACTGTGGCCACTCTATCTGCCCACTATCCATGAACTGGTCTGCTTTGCCTGGGACTTTCCTGGTTTTAGCAGTTAAAGTCTGGTGTCCCGGTAAATGACTAAGTTCCAGGCAAACTGGGACGGTTGGAGACCCTACCACCACAGGTCTTTGGTTTTCAGATTCCCCTGCTCACAAGACTGGCTTCAAGCCCAGCTGGGCCTGGCTAAGGTGCTCTATGGCCATCTCTGAGGTGGCCAGTGTCCTGCTTGCTTGGCAAGTCACCTTCCCTTAGCACCCCAGACAAATGGATTCTCTTCCAAAGCCATCCCTCTCCCCTCCCTCGGATAGCATTCATACTAAGAATAGGGCAAACATTTGGAGGAAAAACTTGGGTGAGTTGGAGGCTATTTTAAGTGTTAGTTTAGAATTGCATTAAAAAACACACACACACACAAACACACACAGAGAGAGGGGTTAATTTTCTGACTGCATAGCCTGAGAGCAGAGCTTTCAGCTGTGTTACCCCTCATGAGAAAAGAGCTGCGTGTGTGAAGTTCCCTTTAAACAAAACGGCAAATCATTCCTTTTGTAAAGGAGGCTCTGGCACCTTTGCTTTGTAGGGTACCTCATTCACAGCCAGGTCAGCCTGCAAAATTTAGCCCTGGGTCTCGGGGGAGCAGGTTTATTTCTGACCACTGATGAGTTGCTGCCACTAGGGTCTCTGGTTGGCGTGGAGTTTTTTGGAGGAGCTGCTAGGAAGGGTTTTCTGCAGGTTGCCCCACAAAGACTTCATGGAGAAGACAACCCTGCGGGACTTAGCTGTCCCTCCCAAGAAACGGGAGGAAAAGAGAAGGAATAGAAGTAAAGTGCGCTCTTAGCCTTGGAGACAGATGCTTGATCCTCTTATTAGAATTTTTAAAAATACCTTTAAATTCTCCTCCCAGGGGGAAAAAATCTTTTAAAGGGTTAACATAAATCTCTACTTATTGAGGAATAAAAAATAGAGGTCATGTAACTAGAAAGGACATACTTCTTAAAAGAAAAAAAAGAACCTGATGCACAATATTTACCAATATTTAAATAATCCAGTTGAAACCTTTTTTGTCATTAATGAAAAAATACAACATAGACGGTTACCTACACTGAGAAGAGTGGAAATGACAGGGAGTTGGGGTGAGGAATAAGAAGGTCCGTTCAGTTAGAGCTTTGCAAGATTCATATATACAGCACCAGATCCTATTAAATCAGCTCCCCTTGAGTCAGTACAGTTTGTGAGAAATGAACACTTCAGAATTGCAGTATAAAATATGGCCATAAAAAAACTTCTGTCTTCCAGTCCTGTGCAGGAAGGTGCACCATGCAAGGTGAGATAGCTCTGGAGGGGCTCTTGGCACTGGCGGCCGTGGGGGCACCCCTTCCCTGGCCCCTCCTGAGGCTCCACCCCAGGCCCCGCCCCCGGGCCCTGCCTCCAGAGCCAGTCACTTGCTGCCAGTATGCACCGTCGTCACAGTGGTGGGCCTTGGTCTCCGTTCAGCTCCAACTCCTGAGACCCCCGAGGAGGAAATGAAACTACAGAGGGTGGAGGATGCCAGGCCTGGAGGGGAACAGTGGATACAAGGGGGATCAAAGCTTCAGAAGGGTTTTTGTAGTTAGAGAAAATACTCGACCCCCTTTCCCACTGCAAGGGTATCTATCAGATGGTCTGGGCTTGTGAGGGGCCAAACTTCATGCACTTGACTCTAAATTTTTACCTACTGTTATGGGTTGAATTGGAACCCACAAAAAGTTATACTGAAGTCCCAACCCGTGTACCTATAAATATGACCTTCTGTGGAAATAGGGGTTTTGTGTTTTACATTAATGAGGACATACCAGAGCAGGGTGAGTCCTAAACCTAATCCCTTCGGAGTGGTGTCTTATAAAAAGAGCATAGTCAGAGACAGACACAGATGGGGGAGACAGATGTATGTGAGGGTACATCTACAAGCAGCCAAGCAATGCCAAGAAATGCCCAGAATGAGAGAGAGAGATGGAACCTGGCTCTTCTGATGCCCTGAATTTGGACTTCTAGCCTTTAGAACTGTGAGAAAATAAATTTCTGTTCTTAAAAGCCACCCACTTGTGGTATTTTTTATTATGGCAGCCTTAGGAAACTAAGACATCTACTACAGGAAAATATTTGTGTCAAAATTCTTTGTTCTTAGGCTCAAATCTCCTCTCCTTTTTTCACTATAATAATTATAATAGCTTTGTATTAGAAAACTACATGGTTTAAGTTGCCATAATATAATAACCAAAAAACCCATCGCCGTTGAGTCGACTCACAGCGACCCTATAGGACAAGAGTACAACTGCCCTATAGGGTTTCCAAGGAGTGGCTGGTGGGTTTGAACTGCTGACGTTTTGGTTAGCAGCCAAACTCTTAACCACTGTGCCACCAGGACTCTACCATAATACAGTAAGTTCCTTTTATTGAGCATTTACTGTGTACTAGGCACTGAGCTGGATGTGGAATATATACTATCATTATAAGAAGTGTAGGACAGATCAGAACTGCCCCATAGGGTTTCCAAGGCTGTAAATCTTTATGGAAGCAGACTGCCACATCTTTCTCCCACAGACTGGCTGGTGGGTTCGAACTGCCAACCTTCTGGTTAGCAGCCAAACGCTTAACCACTGCATCACCAGGGCTCTTTAGGAAACTAATAGAGCTGGGAAGAGCTGAAGAACTGCTCAGTGTTAGGGAGAGGAGGGCTGATGGGAGAAGATCAAGGCAACAGATCTAAAGTAGAGAGGAGTGACTGGAATGGCCCAATATGACATTAAGATAAATCTATTAGAGAAAGACACATCAAGGTGGGGGGTGGGGGGGTGGGGGGAGAGAGAAATATGTAGAATGGAATGTGCCTTCATTGATGTGATATGCAATGCAAAGTTGAAGGATAATGAACGACTATTTCATCTGCTTTATTGCAAAGCCAATGATTTCATATAAATTAGCTCAAATTATCATCGTCCTCATCAAAAAAAATGTATTAAAAGACAATGGGATCAGGCTGTTCTGACTCTTTGCAACCCTGTCCTCAATCCCTAAGAGTGACTCCATAGTGAGAAGCTGATCAGAGGGGAGGGAGGTGTATCAGATAGCACCCGGGCCTTATCCAGACAGACCTGGCTGCGTACAATTTGAACTACAGATTTCTCACTTGTAAATGGAAATAATAATACCTACGTCCAAGGTTGTTATGAGTATTAAATGGGATAAAGTATTAAAAGTGCCTGACAAACAGCAGGTAGGTACTCAGCAAATGAGAGTTCCCCCCTCCCCACCCCAGAATGTACTTAAATGCCAGCTGAAGAGTTCTGTTTTTTGCTACATACGCACAATCTTTTTGGCTGGCCAAGCTGAGGCCGCTCGATACACTTGCATTTGAACTGTCCAGGCTGCTGCCAAGATGTAGTTTTCTCATATGTCTCACGACGGCCGTGGCATTGAATGCTTGCTGAAATTTAAGAAACAAAAAAGCAGACAAAATATTCTGGCTAATTAGAAAAGACTCAGACTGTGTCCTGTAATTTTCCCCGTTACCCTAAGCATTTTAAACTTCTTAAGCATTCTCATGATACTCTATAAAGGAAATGCATGTTGATTTGATCTTTCTTCCAAAAGTAAACTAATTTATTTGACACCTCCCATCAAAATATATTTTGAAGGTTTAAAAAAAATTTTTTTCTTCTGCTATAATAAATATTTAAGATAAATGTAAACCAATTCTCACCATAAGTTAAGAGAAATGATATTTACAATAAAAGGCAAATTATGCTACTGTAAAATGTGATATTTTAAAATAGTTTTTATTTTTCTATTATTGGTACTACTTTTATTATAAATAATAACAATTCCTCTAAATAAATTGTTGTTGTTGTGTGTCGTCGAGTCGATTCCAACTCATAGCGACCCTACAAGACACAGTAGAATTGTTCCATAGGGTTTCCTAGGTTGCAATCTTTACAGGAGCAGATCGCCAGGTCTTTTCTCCTGCAGAGCCACTGGTGGGTTCAGACCGCAGACCTTTCAGTTAGCAGGCAAGCACTTAACTGTGACCCCACCAGGGCTCCTTTGTGAATAAACTAGGTCAGTGAAATTAGTTTTATTTCTATATAGACTCTCCCTGGTGGGTTTTGTGGCAAAACAGCAGGCTCTTAACTACCCGCACTAATTAGAACACAGAGTTTAGGTAATCAACTGCTGGTCACAAACTTCAATGGTTTAAATCCATCACATTTTTACCAGAAAATACTGATGAGCTCAATTCAGATTTCTGATTCTTTTCTCTCAAAAAAAACAAAAACAAAAAAAAAAACAAAAAACTGTGACTCATGCCAACTCATATGTGTCAAAGTAGAAATGTGCTCCATAGGGTTTTTAGTGGCTGATTTTTCAGAAGTAGATCATCAGGCCTTTTTTCTAAGCTGCCTCTGGGTGGACTTGAACCTCCAACTTTTTGGTTAGCAGCCACCTAGGGAATTCGTTTTTCCTCATAGCACTTCTTTAATAAAGTTGACTATTCAAAGTGTGAACAAAGTGAAGAAATACAAGGTAGATTATGCTGTTTAAGAAATAACAAATGAATAAGAGCTGGCACTATTGCTGTTTTTAAATCACAGAAGGGAATTAAGTCACATACTTTATCCTTCTCACACCATAATACTCCAAATCTTTATTTGTTACAATCAGCAAAATTATTTTGGTGAGGTTCTGGAGAATTTAGTCCAAACTCGAGTAATAAAAAAACCCATTGCCATCGAGTAGATTTCAACTCATAATGACCTTACAGCAACCCTGCAGGACAGAGGAGAACTGCCTTATAGTTTCCAAGGCTGTAAATTTTAAAGGAATCAGACCACCACGCATAGCAGCTCATGAGTTTGAACCGAAAAACTTTTGGTTAGGAGCCGAGCACTTAATCACAGTGCTACCGGCGCTCTGACTCAAGAGATAGTAACCTTTATAAGAAATGCTGAAATTGTACAGTGAGTTTCACGAGAGTGGCTGCATTCAGTGAGAATTTAATAAGCACAAGACTTACTCTCCATTTGCTTTTTGCGAAGTTCTTCCGAATCTGGGCACTGACAGATTCGTGGATGTTTTTGTTGAGGGCTGTGTCACCAGCAATCCTGAAACAGAAGCAAAGATGTTTTTCAGAAGTGTTTCTCTGGGGGCTCTGACACTAGGTCCCAAGCTGCTTTCCTATCCTTTTCCTCAGGCTCCTGACAGGGTGGCTTGCCACTGCCCCTTACAGGCTGCTTATTTCATCCTATGGCTCTTCTCGAAGCCCATGATCCATTGCCACTACCACTACCAATGGTTTAAATCCATCAAATTTTTACCAAGGTCTATTCCACCTTCTATATCCTCCCCAGGACCCACCAACATCTTCCTGGTTGACATTAGTATGTGGCTCCCATTTTCTTTTCTCCACCCCAGAATTCACTATGACAACACAACCTGCATTCACAGTATCCCATCCTTCTCCCTCCTTCTAAACCCCTCTCCCTCCACATTAGCTTTCTACCAGCAATCCTTCACCTCTGTGGTCTCAAGCTTGTTCCCTGTTTGGCCTGACCACCAGATCCCTACTCAGAGACCCTGCTTTCCACCTCTGTCATACTTGAGGCCCCTACTCTCAGCCCTCACCAGGACCTCTGCCTGATGGGCCCTGCTCACAGTCCTGGGTTCACAGCTTTCTTTGGCTCCGACCTAGCTCTACAACATTCTATTCACCCACACCCATGACGCTGTGCCCCCTCACCTTCTCTTGAGCTTGGAGAGGGGATTCCCGGCCTTAGTTCAACCACACTTGGTATATCTTCTACTCCTGCATTTCCTGGAAAAATTCCTGGTACTGTAAGGACTAGGTCCAGTCTACATTCAGCTGCGTCCTTGATATTACTGGGCAATCTTATTTAGTTCTTGCTTATTCCTTAGCCTTCTTCTATTGTCAGGGAAGAAGTTAGGTTTGCTCTTGACTTCTTTCCTTGGGGTCTCCCCTCATCCTACTATCTTCTCCCTCTGCTCAATCATCCTCCCATTTAATCTCTCTCTCTCTCTTTTTAAGTCTCACACCTCCCACTTCTCCCTCTTGGCCTACAATCTCATCTTACTAATTACCAGGAGGTCAATTCACAGCTCATTCTTCTCTCACACAGACCTTTCTCAACCTAAACATCATCCTCCCTTTATGCTCCATCACTTGGCCACCCCCTCCAGTTTCAGCCTCTTCTGGGCTTTGACCCTTCCATCTTCCCCTTCTTTAGAACCAAACTGTTAAATTCTAGGTTGGCATGGATGCCTAAGAAATAGTTTATTGAATTTGGGAAAAGTTAAGGGGCAGATGCCAGAGACTGTCCACATCCTCCCTGGCTGGAAGGTAACTGGTAAGTGGGGAAAGCTTTCATCTCACATACCCAGACTGCCCTGGCATGAAACAGCCTGGATGCCATAGGCTATTACTTGCAACTGTTCTGGGAAGTGAAAGGAAATGCTTAGGGCTTAGTCACACAAGAAATTATCCCTGAATAAAGAATATTTTCTTGCCCACCCAGCCTTTCACTTTAGAACTGAAGACATGCACTCTGTGTAACACTGGACCTAAGTTTAAAATACTTTAGTCTGAGAGTTCCAGCAACTCTCCCCCAAATACACTCCCCTCTTTTTTCCAGCAAGGATGAAAATACATTCCAAGATGACACTAGGAAATTAACTGTAGAGAATCAGATTTTTATTTCCAATAACTGTCAACTGTCTCCTTTTCCCAGACACACATCAATGAGACAGAAACAGGACAGACGAACAGGCAAACGCATCCTAAATAGGAGTAATGAGGAGGCCCATGGGGAACTGTAGAAGTCTTGGTTAAGCTTTTTCTCCTAGGGAGCTCCTGTGAGTGCTTCCTCCTATACCATTTTTAAAAGCTGTGTCCTCAGAAAATTATGCCAGTTCAAACTTGTCAGTGGCCAGCTCTTTCTTGGAGACAACAGGGCAGAAGTGGTAGGAAGTATGGAATTCCCTGGGCTGAGTGTTGCCTCAGGGCAGAGCCCCGTGCTCCAAAGCAAACAGTCTGGTGATGGGGAGCCCGGGGCTCCAGGACTCGGGCTCCACTGCCCGTCGGCAGCGTGGCCTGAAACGCTTTGAGCCTCGGTCTTGTTCCCTGTAGTTTGCTTCCTACAGTTCTCTGTAGGTTCACATGAGCTGATATGTAAGGAAAATGCAAATGCCCACTTATTTTAGGAATGCTTCATGCTCACTTCCCACAGTCCTAGGGTGTACCGTGGCTGGGGAAAAATTGAGCTGGGCAGAAGGGGGCTTGGGCCACAATAGCATAGTATGGTCTTCCTCAAATAGGCACTGCCATGAAAACAGGATACCCAGGAAGTTTACAATGACAATATATGACACTCATTGATTGATGCTCAGTGTTATGAACTTCAGAATTAGTCATCAAAAGAAAATGGGAGCCACCAAGTCTTAGAATTGGAAAGGATCTTAGTTTTCACCTAGATTGTCCTAGGAATTGACAAATACATCTGATACAGAAAGTTTTCTTTATAAACCTTATATACACACACATATGTAAAACTTGGGTACATACCTTTGATTCTTGTCTCATATTCTCCCTTACCTTCCAGTCTTAACCCCTGTACTAAATGATGGGAAACTCTCAGTTCCTAACCAAAAGGTTGGCAGTTCAAACCCACTCAGTGCCTCTGCAGGAAAAAGACCTGGCAATCTGCTTCCATAAAGATTACATCCTAGAAAATCCTATGGGTCAGTTATACTCTGTCACATGGGATCACTATGAGTTAGAATCCACTTGACGGTACACAACAATAAAACAACAACAACAAACAATGTAGATGGCATTGATAAAAATCACACCCTTTTGAGGCCTGTCTTACTATTCTTCTCTGCTCACAGATCATCATCATCATCATCTTTCCTTTCTTTTTGTGTTTTTGCTCTTTGTATATGGTTTGCTCTACCTCCACAGCTCTGATACTGTGTTTTTCTAACCACTTACTCAAAATAGGCTTGGTGATGCCTGGTGGGTATCCCAGACAATGCTTCACAATCCCTGTGGACAACCAGAATTCCCAGCTTTTCCATCTTTCCAACTGTTCTAATAGCTGTTCTGTGGATGGAGCCCAGAAGAGCAGATGGGGTCTCAGTGAATATTTAGGAGAGGCTGCAGATGCCACCCTGACCTGGAAGGTGCATGTGTTCCCCCAAGGTGGGCACACTGCCCTTGCTCGTCATAAGTCTTGGAGCTGGCTGAGCGCAACCTGTGGTCCTGATGCTCAGTACTGTCACTTTAGTGTTCTTGTCAGTGAAGATGGAGACAAAGGTTCAGAACAACTCAAACTGGATAAATGGACTATGTCAAGGTTCTTCCCTGTTACTGTGAATCAAAGATGTCCTGAATGGATTTCCACCCTGCCACTTGCAGTCCCCTGCTCTCTGGCCATCAGCCAGCTGCCTGTTTGTTCCTTACCATGCACCACAAGAGAAAGAGGCTTGGGGAACATCTGCCAAGATGAGCTGGCTGCTTTCTACTAGGAGAGCCTTGAAAACAGCCCTCTCCTGACTGGAGTGGCCTGTTTGGAAACTAAGGAAAGGTGTCTGTGAGCCCTGGTGGTGCAATGGTTATGTGCTTGGCTGCTAACTGAAAGGTTGGTGGTTCGAATCCACTAGCCGTTCCACAGAAGAAAGATGTGGCAGTCTGTGATTTCAGCCTTGGAAACCCTATCGGGCAGTTTTAGTCTGTCCTACCGGGTTGCTCTGAGTCAGAATCGACTCAACAGCAATGGGTTTGGTTTTGGTTTCTCCCAGCCCTAGGTGGCCCTGATTAAGTTGAAAGAGTAAGTGCAGAATAACAAATGATACTCTCCGGATATAACTGATACGCCGAGACCACAGTTTCCAGAATGGTGATACTGAAAGGCTATGCATCACTGGAATAATTATTCTACTTTCTGTCAGCTCTCAGCTGAATCTGTGTTCTCCTTTGCCCAGGTAATTTTATATAAAAGAGACAAGCATATCATAAATGCAGGCATGTGTGGAGTTTTGGTAACACTTGAATTGAATACATTCGTTTTTATCACTTTCCAATGTTTGACTTCTTGAGAACTTTAAAATGTGTAGTAAAAATTATAAAGCACTGGGGAGAAAAAAAACTCACCTCTGTCTGCTTGTGCAGCTCAAATGCTAGTAAATCTTACAGTGTGGTACATGCTGGTGACTCCAAAGTCTTCATCTCTAGCCTGGCCTCTCCTGAGCTCCAGGCTCATAACAGCAAACTGTCTCATAGCTCTAGATTTAGATGATTCCGAGACTTTGAATTCAGCACGCCCAAAGCTGAACTCATTCTCTTCCACTCAAATCTGCTTCTCTCCCCAGCATAATCATCCCTCCAGTCCCTTAAACTGGAAACTTGGGAATGATTTTAGCTCCCTCTTTGCCTCAGTGTATACCCCACCAGTGCTCTGCCCAAGACCTGTAACTTCTCCACGCCTTGAGTGTCTCTCATAGCCCTCTCCTTCCCTGTCTGTCCTTGTTGTGCTGCCTTTGGGCAGCCCTCCACCATCCTTCTCTAGGACAGCCTCCTTCCACCTCTGATCTGCCCCTTCCTGCTACCATCCCATGCCCCATCTCCTACAACTCATCTTCTACCCTGCAGCCAGGTTGAGCTTTCTAAAATACAAATCTGATAACCCTGCTTAAAAATTGCTGGGGTCCCCACTGACCAAAGTATAAGCACAAATTCCTTAGTACAGCACAATAAAATAATGGCAACTCATATATACTTGGAATTTATTCTGTGCCAGGTACTTTTTTTCTTTACATGTATTATCTCATTTAATCCAACGCTTCAAAAGACCTATAGGGTACACACTGTTGTTATTTATTATCTCAGTTCTACAGATGAGTCCCAAAGGGTTAAGTAGTTTGCCTGAGGTTACCCAGGACTTGGATTTCGTCTATAGGAGAACTCACAACAGAATCTTGCTACTTCCTGCTTTCCTTTCTAGTCGCATCTCTGGTCCCTCTTCTTTGTCCACTCTTACTCCAGAAACACCAAATGCCTGTGACACCATGAGTGGGTGTGAAGTGTTAAGCCCCTATGGCATAGCCCAGGTTGCTTGTCCTGTGTGGAATTCCCTCTGAATGCTGGCTTGCCTGGTGGAAGCCTTCTCATCCTGTAAGACTCAGCGTGGGCATCAACAACTCAGGGAAGTCTTTCTGGTTTCTGCAGAGCAGACTCTGCCCTACTCACACCTCTCTCAGTAAAGCTGATCTCTCCCTTCTTTGGTTCCTCAAAAATGTTTGGTGAAGAAGAGACTAGGTTTTCACTGGCCTTCCTGGCTTCTACAGAGCGGGGCTGGATTAGTGAATAAGCACTAGGAGGCAAATCACTTCACTCTTTTGAGCTCATTCTCCTCCTCTATGAGATTATCTCAACAGTTTTTTACAGCATTATAGTTTATAAAGTAAGAAAACTTCTACTATCTTCGTTGTCACTTTGAGCTACTGTTCAAAGTTACATTAAAAAATATCAAGATATGGTAGCACAATATGGTGAATGTAATTTATGTCACTGAATTGTAAATGTAAAAATGGTTAAAATGGCAAGTTTTTTGTTATATATATTTTACCACAATAAAATTAAATATATATATATATACATATACACATGCATATACATATTGTTATTGGGTGCTATCAAGCTGGTTCCGACTCATAGCGACCCTATGTAATGAAGTGGAACTTCCCCCTAGGGTTTTCCTGGCTGTAATCTTTATGGAAGCAGATCACCATGTCTTTCTCCCATGGAGCCGCTGGGTGGGTTTGAACCGCCAACCTTTGGTTAGTAGCTGAGCACCACTTAACCACTGTGTCATTGGGACTCATATACATATACATACATACATACAATTCATATACGTATATCAAGATGATGTAGGCTCAGCACTGTCCACTTTTTCAGAAAATTCCTTCCTTCTCCCCCAAACTCTCTCTTTCTTCCCCTTTACTTCTCCTTTCAGAGCTGTTGTGAAGAGCATAAGCAGTGGAATCAGTTCTGGCTGGAATCCTGGCTTTGCCATTAGCTAGTTGTGTAATCCTTGCTAAGTTACTTTACCTTTCTATTTCCTCATGTCTGAAATGGAGATAAAACCTACACAGGGTTAATTATGTGGAAAAAATGAGATACTATTTTAAAGCAATCAGCACAGTGCCTAGAACATAACAAGTGCTCAGTGAACACCAGCCATTATTATACATTAGAACACTGTGGAACTGAGTTCACTGAGATCAGTACCTTTAAGCAGATCTCCTTTGGAAGGCTAACTAGCATATAAGACTTGAGAAAAATGGTACAGAAGATGGTAGACTAGACAGGGGCACAGTTTCCTAGAGAGCTTCCTGGAGGGAATTTCTGCTGAACCCAAGGTTTACTCCATTTATTTTTATTGGCTATTTTGCTATTCTTGGCATTTGTTTCAATATGGATCACTCATGGTGGTTTAATAATAACCAGAACCAGTTGCCATCAAGTTGATTCTGACTCATGGCAACCCCGTATGCTCCACAGGATTTCCAATGGCTGATTTTTCAGAAGTAGATTACCAGGCCTTTCTTCCAAGGTATCTAATAGCTACAATTAATTAAGCATTTATTATGTACCAGATATTGTGCTAAGCCCTATAGATGCATTATCTCAATTATTCTTTGAGTCAACCCTGTACTTTAAATATTGTTATTCTCATTTTAAAGATGAAAAAAATTGACGCTCAGAGAAGTATAAACCCAAAGTCACAGCTGGTAGATAATGAAGCTGGATTCACAACTAGTCGGTAGCATCAAAACAGGTGTAGCTTAAAGCACACTGCTGAAAACAGCGTGTAGAATGCCATAAACTATCAATTACTCCCTCTGGAGTTGAAGAAATACTAACATGAAATGTATCTTAAAGGAAAAAAGTATAACTTCAATTCATCTAACTACAGAGGAATAAACTCAAGGAATAATCTCCAGTCTTAATACCTCAGTGAGCAATTATCTTCAATAAAAACAACCCTAAAAAACTTTACATAAAGTGAAAAAGCTACAGCTATCTTTTGTGCACTTAATTTCTCATTGGTGTAATCAGAATACTGTGTCCCCAGGGAACAAAAGAGTCAACTTTTGGCTCAGGGGAAGGAGTAGAGCCACCAGCCAGAATGAGATGGAATTATTAGCTGTGGATTTCACAGTCCAGAACAGCCCAGAGAAAATTTATTCTGGGAAAGCATTAGATGACATGGTCTTTACACAGGGTGACTTTTCTTACCATGGGTGCCGAGCTGCCTGCTCACATGTGTATCTTTTATTTGGATCTTTCTCCATCAAATTCCGAATGAAGTCTTTAGCTGTTTAAAAACAAAGCACAAGGGAAGGAATGAGTTGGTGACTTGAAATGCAACAATATGACACCACTAGGTCTTTGAGAATAGAGTGTATGGCCTGGAAAATATGAGATCAGCCCTCCACTTGTCCTACTGTACTTGGACATAAAGGGCAAGCAGTACCAGCACTTGGGAAAAAGGGAAGCCAAGGCTTAGGACACCAGGTAAGTGAGGCCCGGGACCCTGGCTCTCCAGCCCCAAGTTCCTTCTCTCCAGCAGCCAGTGACACCTTCTGTTTAAAGAAGAGATAAAATATCTTCATAATACTATGCCTCTCATTGAGCTCCCCACTGCTTGAGAGTGCTGTTTTTTTAGACGTCCCTACATGTTTCAGACATCGCTGATTCTACAAAATTCACTGAGCACCTAGTAAGCCTGCCAGGTCCTGGGCTAGGCGCTGGGGATACAAAACTTTTAAGAAGCACCGTCTGCAGTCCACTTGTTGTTAGCTGCTGTCAAGACAGCTCCAACTCATGGCTCAGAGAGGTTTAATCAAAATACTTGGGCCTTGGATTTTGATCTTTACCCCTAAGTAAGAAATGGCAAACTTCCCTGGGAACATTTCAGTGTGGCATAGTAGTTAAGACATGGGCTCTAGAGTAAGGACTTGGGTTCAAATCCCAGCTGTGCCACTTGCTAGCTGTGTGACTTTCTTCAAGTTATTTAACCTTGTGGTGCCTCTGTTTCCTCATCTGTCAAATGGGGATAATAGTAAGACCCACCTGATAATTTGTCCTGAGGACTAAGTGAGTTAATACATGTACAGAACTTATAGTGTTCAGCACACAGTAAGTACACAATAAATGTTAGCTAATATTGCTTCATGGGGCATTGGTTAAGAGCTCAGCTGCTAACCTTTTGGTTCGAATCCACCAGCCACTTGTTGGAAACCCTATGGGGGCGGTTCTACTCTGCTCTGTAGAATCACTATGAGTTTGGTTTTGTCGCAACAGATTTGGTTTTGGGGTAATATTGTTTCACTCCTGGAGCATCCAGACCAGGGCTAGGAGTGGTGCGTAAGTGAGCCCCCCATCCCTCAGCCTGGCTCAGATCAGACGGCACCAATCTCTCCTCAGCTTTGCAAGTCCAACCCAAATGTGTAGCTCATGAAACTTCTTTGGGAGCCTTAGGGCCCTTCTGACCCCCAGGTTCAAGGGCCCACTGGGCCTACCAGGGTCAGATGGTGTGGTTGTGGGGGTTCCAGGGGCTGCCCACTGGGAGCTGACGAGACCTACCTGAGTCAGAGATGTCGTCCCAGTAGGGAGAGTCAAACTCATATTCTGCCTTGAGGATCTGTTCAAAGAGTTTGGAGTCATTTTCATCATAAAAAGGAGGGTAGCCACAGAGCCTGGAAGACAAGATGGCATAAGGATCTGAAACTTTTTTGTATCAAAAGTGGTGGTTTTAGATTTTGCCTGGAGGAAAGAGATATTTATCAACTGAATTTAAAGAAATCTGCACTGGGTGTGCTACAAGGATAATCTCAGTAACGAAATCACACATTCTATGGGCGGCAAAGAAGTAAAATTCTGATTTAACAAATAGCAGAAATGGTTAACTCAGTAATGATCAAAGATAAATACAGATGTTTATGTTCACCTTAACTCTTTGCACATTATTGGCCACCAAGTCCAATATATCCTAAAAACCTACCCAACAGCCTTCTTTGTATAAATGCTATGATCTTCTTTTCTGTGAGTATATGGTGGGTTGGTAGAAAACAAGTAAACAAAATATATGCTTAGTAAACATTTCAGGACCCTTCTAGGTTCATTTTATTTCAAAAATCATCATAGCAAGAAAAGGAAATTCTATAACCTTGTTGCCATATTGGCCCTAGCCTGCAATGCCCAAATTGGGTATTTGAAGGGTTATAGTCTAGCCCATTAAGGAGATCTGGTGGTGCAATTGTTAAGTGCTCAGCTGCTAGCCGAAAGGTCGGGGGTCTGAACCCACCCAGTGGCTCCACGAGAGAAAAGGCCTGGCAATCTGCTCCCATAAAGATTACAACCTAGGAGACCCTATGGGGCAGTTCTACTCTGTCCTCTAGGGTTGCCATCAGTCAGAACTGACTTGACAGCAAATGACAACAGTCTTGCCCATTAATAGGTGAGATCAGCAGGGGTTGGCACCACAATAATACTGTCATCCATTTTAGCCACTGAACCATTTCTAAGTTGATTTTTAAAAGATCATTAGGATGCTGGGGCAAACCACGTATTGTTCTGGAGGCACCAGTATATATCTGACAAACTTAATATGAGCAGAAATTTTGATTAAATACCCTAAATACAATTCATACCATAGAATCACAGATTCTCACTCCAGTTCTGCTCTCAATGCCAATGCAAATTTTGTTGTTGTTGGGTGCTGTTGAGTCAGTTTCAACTCATAGCTACCCCCTATGACAGAATAGAAATGCCCCATGGGGTTTTCTAGGCTGTAATCTTTTTTTAAATTATACTTTAAATGAAGATATACAGCAAATTCATTTCTCATTAAACACACACATTGTTTTGTGACATTGGTCGCCAACCCCATGATGTGTCAACTCTTCCTTTCTCGACCTTGGGTTCCCCATTTCTATTCGTCCGGCTTTCCTGTCCCCACCTGCCTTCTCGTCCTTGTACCTGGGCTGGTGTGCCCATTTAATCCCGTATACGTGGTTGAGCTTCTAGGCTGTAATCCTTAAGGGAGTGGATCGCCAGGTCTTTGTCCTGTGGAGTCGCTGGGTGGGTTTGAACCACCAACCTTTTGGTTAGCAAAGGAGCGCTTAACCACTGTACCACCAGGGTCCTTAATGTGACTGTCAGTTGACCATTAACACATTTTTTGGGCCAAAATTTCCTCATCTAAAAATGAGGAGGCTGGACTCAAAAATTTCTAATATTCTTTCTGGCTCTGAGATGCAATATCTCAGTAACGCCCGTCTCCCAGTTTGTTTGGCTGGATAAAGACTTAGGAAAAGACCTTGGACATGCTGGAGGCAGGGCAGGCTCTGGCTGGGACTGGAAATCTGGGAAGGGTGGGCTTGAGGCTGCAGCTGTATGTGATCAACAGAGCAGAAGGCAGGCGGGCTTGACTCTCAAAGCCCAGGTGCAAAGCTGGATGGCGCCGAATGATCTCAGTTCTGGAGCCTCAACAACCCAGAGGGTGGTAGCCACAGTGGGAGTTCTGTCCCCAAATGAGCCCTAAATCTTCCCACAATGCCAAACTTTGTTCAAAACACCGCTCCAGCCTAGAAACCAGTTTAAGAACAAAGGAACAGGAATCAACAGACTCCAGGCCTGTGAGGAATTGGGCTGTTGGCAAGTAAAAAATTTAATAAAGTTTAGAAAAACAGCCTCAGTTCAGTCATTCTTCGGACGCCTCCTACCCTGAGGTGCAATACCACCAGGCCACTGCTGCGTAGGGGAATGGTTGATGACATTTTTAAAGGCTGTGAGACATTCTGTGGGCCGATAAGATTCAAACTCATCTATCCCCACAAGGCTGACTTAGGGGCTAAGCGCCTGGAAAATTTCACTTTCAAAGATTTGCTGCTTTTGGCTAAATGAACCTTAGTGCTTCTGAAACCACCAAGTACATATTTCCCTGCCCAAGGAAACCCTGAACCAGGAGATGGATATGTAAATATTTCCCATAATGAGGATCTGGGCTAAATGAAATGTGCCTGTTAGGAAAGGCGTTCGGCTGCTAACTGAAAGGTCTGTGGTTCGAACTCACCAGCTGCTCCAAGGAAGAAAGATGTGGCAGTCTGCTATCACAAAGATTACAGCCTTGGAAACCCTTTGGGGCATTTCTGCTCTGTCATATAGGGTCACTATGAGTCGGAACAGACTTGACGGCAATGGGTTTTTTTTTTTTTTTTTTTTTTAATTAGGAAAGGCAGACAGAGGGAAAGTTATTTCATCTTGGAAAGAACTAGATTTTAGGTAATTGAGGTTTTTGTTTATTAACAACTGTGTGTGTTTTACTTTATTATTTGGCTTTCTTTTCAAAGAAAAAAAAAGTTTTAAGAAAATCCCAAGAAATTTATTTTTCTTGTGCCAATTTTCTTAACATGTATTCCAATTTCCTCTGGACTTAGCTCTTTTTTTATATAGAAATCTGCGTTTATGCGGCTGTACTGAAGGAATGGACCTAACCTGAAGCAGAGCATACTGTTGTTGCTGGCTGCTGTCAAGTCGGCCCCGACTCATGGCAACCCCACACATAACAGAATGAAAACACGGTCTGGTCTTGCACTATTCCCATGACTGGCTGTAGATTGGACCATTGTGATCCATAGGATTTTCATGGGCTGATTTTTGGAAGTAGATCACCAGGCCTTTCTTCCTAGTCAGTCTTAGTCTGGAAGCTTCCTGAAACCCGTTCGGCATCATAGCAACACCCAAACCTCCATTGACAGATAGGTGGTGGCTGTGCATGAGGTACACTGGCCAGGAATTGAGCCTGGGTCTCCTGAACTGAAGGTGAGAATTCTACCCCTGAACCACCACTGTTCTCAGCGTGGAGTGTAAGTAAGTAAAAATGAAGAAAGAGGATTTTAAAATAAGGATTATAAAATAACAGAGGGGCAAACAAGTTGTAAAATTATGCTCAGATCTAGAAATTTCACAGAGAGCTCGCTGGCCAGGCTATTTCATTAGATGGTTTGTGTGGAGGGAGGCAGCCAAACAGGAGAGAGAACAACTTTGGGCTGTTTTTCTTCATATATAGAATATGTAAGCTTCTGTGGTCAAGGATCTGCCTATTTGCACTTACAATCACCATGTTCCTCACTAATGTTTCTGAAGTGTCAATTATTTTATATATTAAACCATTTAAATAATCTACAAATGCCATCTCCATGGGTACTCAAAAACAATAAACTTAGTCCCAACTTTTCTAGGCCTAAAAGCTTATGGTTAACGTCATGGATTAAATTGTGTCCCCCCAAAATATCTGTCAACTTGGCTAGGTCATGATTCCCAGTATCGTATGATTGTCTACCTTTTGTCATCTGATGTGATTTCCGTATGTGTTGTATATTCTATCACTATGATGTAATAAGATGGATTAGTGACAGTTATATTGATGAGGTCTACAAGATTAGATAGTGTCTTAAGCCAATCTCTTCTGAGATATAAAAAAAGTGAGGAGAGAGACATGGGGACCTCATACCACCAAGAAAGCAGCGCCAAAGCAGAGTGCATCCTTTGCACCTGAGGTTCCTGCGCTGACCAAGGGAAGACTGATGCATCACAAGGACCTTCCTCCAGAGCCGACAAGAGAAGAGAAAGCCTTCCCCTGGAGCCTACTGGACTATGAGAGAATAAACTTCTCTTTGTTAAAGCCATCTACTTGTGGTATTTCTGTTATAGCAGCACTAGATGACTAAGACAGTTAATAACATCTAAATTTCCCAACTCAAAGACTGTCATGCCCAAATGCTTGAAAGGACATTCCATTGCCTCTATTCCAGCCTCAGGCCTATCTTCCAGGAAGAACTATTACATCTTTCCAGTCTTTCCTGTTGTTATTTAGTTTGTCATCTAATCTACTACTGACAAATTTATGCAAATATACTACTAGATCCTAGTTTGTTTTTCTAGTTTAACTTCAGTTGAGTCCTTATTTGGTGTCAGGAACTCCACTAAGTGCTTTACTGCATTATCTTGCTTAAACCTCACCTCCCATTAGGCAGATGGGCTAGACATCTTCAGTTCACCCACTTTAGAGCCACTCCACTCTGCTCTGTGCCCTGGGAGGCTGACCTGTTATGGACAGATACACGAGTTATTGAACTCTGACTTCCGGTAAAGTTCAGCCAATAAGGACTTCTGCAGAGATGGTGGAGAAGAGAGGAAATGGAAGACACAGTGTCTACTCCTCTGGGTCCCTCTCATCAACCTCTTCTCAGGAGGATTATATACCTGACGGCAGGCAACTGCTCCTCTCAAGGCACCTGACTCTACCAGCCTCTCTCTCCGGGTTCCAGTAAGTGCTCCCTCCTCATCCTGTTGGCTTTAGGGGTGTTTATAGCCTAGCTGCTACTAAGTCAAGTCCAGTGTCAATCTGCTATTCCTTGTGGTTCCCTCACACTCATACTTTTGTAAACAGTTCATTGTATGTTTGTTGTTGTTGTAAGGTGCCGTCTAGTTGATTCAGAGTCATGGCAACCCCATGTGACAGAGCAGAACTGCCCCAGAGGGTTTTCTAGGCTGTAATCTTTATGGAAGTAGATCGCCAGGTCTTTATCCTGAGGAGCCACTTGGTGGATTCAAACCACCAACCTTTCTGTTAGCAGCCAAGCTCTTAATCATCTGTGCCACCAGGGATCCTTTTTCCCTTGTAAGTAAACCC